AAAGGAAAAAAAAGTGAAGAAAAAAATTGTTGGAGACACCCGGACTCGAACCAGGGATCTCGAGATTGGAAGTCAAGTGCGTTACCGATATACCAAAACATTTCCCATAGCGATTACACGTAAACGGGAAATGGAATTCTGAAATCCTACTTTGCAAGTGAAATATGAGCATGATCCCGGCATCTAATCGAAATATAAAGGGCGCACTTGTGATAGCTCATTGTCTCAGCTACAACATATCCGAAGTTCAGCAAAAACGAAGCTAAAACAACAGAGATTTTGCTCGCGAAAGACAGGAGTGTAGAATCCAGTTTTGAGAAAAAGTAATGTCCCATAGAGAATACACGTAAAATGTGAAAAATTGACATGCCTTCTTTAATTGCAAAAATACGCCATGATGCCTTTGTCAAAATGGAAAATTGTGGATAATTTATTTGTAGAAAATTGTCTCAGGTAGAACATATCAAAATTTAAAAGAAAATCAATCAATATTTACAGAGATACAATCAATTTTCCAAAATTATGCTGACGTCATAATATGCAAATTGAAATTTTGAGTTTGGAGGCCATTATGATGACGTTATGAGTTAATTGAGGGTCAAATGAGACATGAAATCATATCTCCAACTTATAACCTATCTAAATATGAAAAAATATTGGGAGTTTCTATCTATTCTGAAGAGTTACAAAGAATTTTGTATAGACATGTTTTTGCTCATGTATTGTGGATAAAGATAACGCAGGTCCGCGCGCGCTGTCAACTTTGACGGACGCTCATTGCGTTATTAAAAGATGAACAAGTTATCAAAATGCTTGGAAAGATGTACCAAATATGATGATAGAGAACATTCGGCGATTCTATGTTGCAAAATGCTAGTACGCGCAAAAAACGCGCGCGCATGCGCGTTTGCGTGATTTTTTGTCAAATGCTCCATATGGCCTGAAACGTATGCAAAAAAAATTTGGGATGATTTGGAGCATTTTAATTTTTTTCGCGCGCGTAAACGCGCGTACGAACGCGCACGCGCGCATTTGCGCACGTTTATTGATTTGAAATTGACCGGATGGATATTGATCTTCTTCCTGATAAATATGAATGAAAAATTCCTTTCCGTTATGAAGATATGATCATAAGTTTATTTTCACAAAATGGCGCCTGGATGACGTCACGATAATTTTGAGTCTTTGAAAAGTCACGCAGTTCTAAGTTAGACTAAGATCTATCATCATGGCAAGTTTCATGATAATGGCTTTATTCAGTCTTGAGATATCCTGCGAACAAATTCGAGGAAGAATAATAATAAATAAATAAATAAATAAATAAATAATAAAAATCTTGACGAAATCAAAAGGTGATACGTCTACGTACGTATCACCTAACTAGACTTTAATTCGTCACTTAGACGAATTAGGTGATACGTATGATAATGGTCTACATAACGAATAATGCATTACACGATATATTATTTTGTAAAATGCTTCTCCAATTCATATGCTTCTCCCATTATGATCTAGTCATATGTCAAGATTAAATTGTGTCTCCTTGATCATCATGGATCTAGGGAAGATAGACTGAAACAATATATGACCTTTGACCCTGTGCAGTAACCAGTTACACATTTGACTCTAATTTACATCATGAAGAACACCTTTTGACGATTTTTATCTTATTCAAAGAAATGAAAATGTAACTGATAAATGATTATCATCATTATGATAATGATGATCATGATGATCATGATCATGATCATGAGCGCGATCATGACATCTTATTGAAAAAATGAGGGTTGATTTAGATAGCATATAGTCTCAGCTACAACATACTCAAAAATCAACAAAATCCAAGCCGAAATAACGGCGATATTGCTCGCAAAAGACAGGAATGTAGACTCCAGATTTTAGAAAAAGTCATCTCCCATAGGGATTACACGCAAAAAGTAATGGATTAAGTAAAAATAGGGTAATAATAAAGTAAAAAGCGTTATTTATGACATTATTTGCGAATCTACGTGTTTAAATAATCAAAGGAGATGGTACAGTGAAGGTCAAAAGGAAAAAAAAGTGAGAAAAAAAAAGTGTTGGAGACACCCGGACTCGAACCAGGGATCTCGAGGTTGGAAGTCAAGTGCGTTACCGATATACCAAAACATCTCCCATAGCGATTAAACGTAAACGGGAAATGGAATTCAGAAATCCTACTTTGCAAGTGAAATATGAGCATAATTCTGGCATCTAATCGAAAAATAAAGGGAACACGTTTGATAGCTCATTGTCTCAGCTACAACATATCCAAAGCTCAGCGAAAACAAAGCTAAAACAACGGAGATTTTGCTCGCGAAAGACAGGAGTGTAGAATCCAGTTTTGAGAAAAAGTCATGTCCCATAGAGAATACACGCAAAATGCGAAAAATTGACATGCCTCATTTAATCGCAAAAATACACCATGATACTTTTGTCAAAAATAAAAATTGTGAATACTACATTTGTAGAAAATTGTCTCAGCTAGAACATATCATAATTAAAAAGAAAATTGATCCATATTTACAGAGATACAATCAACTTTCCAAAAATATGCTGACGTCATAATATGCAAATTAAAATTTTGAGTTTGGAGGCCATTATGATGACGTCATGAGTTAATTGAGGATAAAATGAGACATGAAATCATATCTCCGACTCATAATCTATATAAATATGAAAAAATATTAGGAGTTTCTATCTATTCTAAAGAGTTACAATGAATTTTATATAGGCATGTTTTTGCCCATGTATTGTGGATAAAGATAACGCAAATCCGCGCGTGCTGTCAACTTTGACGGACGCTCATTGCGTTAATAAAAGGTGAACAAATTATCAAAATGCTTGGAAAAATGTACCGAATATGATGACAGAAAAAAATCGACGATTCTATGTTGCAAAATGCCAGTACGCGCGAAAACGCGCGCGCATGCGCGTGTGCGTAATTTTTTTATCAAATGCTCCATATGGCCTGAAACGTATGCAAAAAAAAATTGGGATGATTTGGAGCATTTTAAATTTTTGCGCGCGCGTAAACGCGCGGACGAACGCGCACGCGCGCATTTGCGCACTTTTATTGACCTCAACTTGACCGGACGGATATTTATCTTAATCGTGATAATTATGAATGAGAAATACTTTTCCGTTATGAAGATATGATCATTAGTTGATTTTCACAAAATGGCGCCTGGATGACGTCACGATCATTTTGACTTTCCAAAAAGTCACGCAGTTCTAAGTTAGACTAAGATCTATCATCATGGCAAGTTTCATGATAATGGCTTTATTCAGTCTTGAGATATCTTGCGAACAAATTCGAGGAAGAATAATAAAAATAAATAATAATAATAATAATAAAGAAAAATCTTGACGAAATCAAAAGGTGATACGTAGACTTCGTTACGTATCACCTAATAAATAAATAAATAAATAAATAATAATAATACAAATCTTGACGAAATCAAAAGGTGATACGTCTACGTACGTATCACCTAATAATAACATGTATAGCGGTTAATAATTATGTTTCGAAGCGCTGTACAATATTACCCCCTCCAAAACGTCTTGCCAAAAGATGTAAGTGTTACAGTGGAAACCGAAACATTTATTGTTAAGTTATAAACCATAAACAAAGAGGGAGCGATTCAGGAGCGATTTATTAATATAGATTTGGTTAATACAGTTATCGGTGATCTCTAGCAAGCATATTGATGCCTATTTATACCAAAATTGATCATGTTAATTAGTGACGAGGAAGTTATAATCAACATTCTGTTATAGAAAATATGGATACAAAATCAATATTTGGTGAATAGCCGGCTAAGCTCTCAAGGATGGCGACTTTGTTCAATCATCTAATGTATAGACAGGTCAGAAATCTCTCTCTACAAGTGCTTTATCGATCGACTTTGGCGGTCATGCTGTTCCACCACTCTCGGTTCCTAGCCTTCTCTATTAGCAACACTCCCAGTTCTTCCTCTCCTCTCTCTTCCAACAATTTCTGCATGCTGTCCATCCAAAGTATCCTCCTCCTTCCCACAATTTTCCCTGTCAGAGCAAGATTCTCTAGGCCTTCTTTTCGTGTAATACCCCGTGAACTTCAACTGCCTAATCAACATATCACGTATCATTTTCCTTTGCACTCCAGCTCTTCTAAGAAATTCCTCATTACCAACTTTGGCACTCCAAGGGATTTTCATCAATTTTCTTAAAAACCACATTTCGCAGCTTAACTTTCCCAAACGCTTCTTAGTATCAGAGGCTAAAGTCCATGTTTCACTACCAGGCCGAGGGATGAACAAAAATTGAAGTTGTAGATCAATAATTACACATCATTTAGCAGGCAAAGATTTTCTGCCATGGCTCAAAACCATATTAAAAAGTTTAATACCTGTTAATCACCAAATCCGGACACCTACCCCCTTGACATCCACCCGGGATAACCACCCCAGTCAACTACACCCTTGGACAACTACCCCCTAGATGGCCTAGAGCAACCGTCCTCTAGGATGACTACCCACGGGATAACCACTCTCCGGACAGCTCCCCCCATACAACTACCCCCTTGGACAACTACCCTTTAGGACAACTACCACCCGGACAACTACCCCCGTACAACTACCCCCTTGGACAACTACCCCCTAGGACAACTACCACCTGGACAACTACCCCCAAACAACTACCCCTAGAACAAATAACGCCCGGACAACTACCTAGGATAGTTGTCCGGGGGTAATTGTCCGGGGGTAGTTGTTCGGGGATAGTTGTCCGGGTGTAGTTTTCTTAGTGTAGTTTACTTGGGGGGTAGTTGTCCGGGGGTAGTTGTCCCAGGGGGTAGTCGTCCTAGAGGGTGGTTGCCCTATGGGGCAGTTGTCCTTGGGGGCAGTTGAATGGGGGTGTTTATCAGGGGTTAATGTCCAGGGGGTAGGTGCCCTAGAACCGTTAATAACTTCCGCCCATTATTTATTATCCAATTCTGCTAGTTCGTCTAGTTGGTGGACATACCGCTTTAGAAGGTCGCGTTGAGGTGTTCTTTGAAGGTTCTTGGGGAACAGTTTGCGATGATCTTTGGGACTTGGACGACGCCAGAGTTGTATGCAGAATGCTTGGCTTTCAGACCGCAGTGAGAGCAGTCGTGATGGCTGGATACGGACCAGGTTCTGGAAGCATCATTCTTGATAATGTCCAATGCCTTGGGACAGAAAGCAACCTTGATGAATGCTCCCACAACGAATATGAGATTCATGATTGTATACATAATGAAGACGCTGGTGTTGTCTGCTCTCATGGTGAGATTATACTCATGGAATCCAAACGTTAAAGAGTTGACGTATTTGATAAAGGGAAATCCAAATTAATAGGTAACTCCCCTAAAAGAAAGCAAGAGTTAGAACGAAATCGGACAAAAAGAAGAAAGATATGAATTGTTCGAAATTGTAATCACTGTACATGTATAGGTACCTCAAACTCAACGATTCACTAATGTCATTGTGATGTAGTGCCAGACAAATTTTCCCATTCGTTTCAAATCGCAAAATGACTAAAATTTCATTTGTCTTCCGAATATATAACTTAAGAGGGTCTTTTCTGTTTAGAGGACATACTATATATGCTATACTTCCCAAGGAAGAAGACATCATGTCAATGTCACAATCCACTGACCGAATTGATTTGTGTAATATATCATTACCTTATTCAAAATGGCTTTTGACTATTCTAATGTTATTCGATATGAACTATACCCCGCTTCTCACAAAATTATCTTATCTACTAATGTTAAAAAGCTGTCAATGTTGACGATGTGTTCTCCTAAAGTCAGTATGATTTAAATTCCATTATTAAATGGTTCAATTGATATCAAAATACATATATATTTTTCTTCCATAACAAGGCTATATAAATTTCTAAAATGGCTCAAATTATAACTAGAGTTTATTCAGCTCACACTGACATAATTTCTGACCTTCCCAAATTCTGTCAAAACTTTTAGCCTTATACCCATTTGCATTTATAACATATATGATACTAAATTGTGAACTTTTATCAATTTTATCTTCTTTTTGCTCTGAATGCTCGACTATCAGAGAGTCCTCTTGAAGTTCGCCTCGCAGATGGCCCAAACTCCAGAGAAGGCCGAGTTGAGGTGCTATACCAAGGCTCCTGGGGTACAATCTGTGATGACTACTGGGATTCGAAGGATGCCAAGGTTGTCTGTAGAATGCTCGGTTTTAACAGGACATTGAGTGCACGTGGAAGGGCCGCCTACGGCCAAGGTTCTGGCCCCATTCTCCTTGATAACGTCGTATGTCTTGGAACAGAAAACAGCTTGGCAGAATGCTCTCATAGTGGCTTCGGAGTTCACAACTGTGGCCATGCAGAAGATGCTGCTGCGGCGTGCTCTATCGGTATTCTGTTTGAATAAATACTATTTTGTAAAAGTAATATTTCACTAGCAGAGAATAGAGACACAGTTAAGCTTTTGTCTTCGGCTCATCAGTGTAAACCGCAAGAATGAACAGAACAAATGTATATAGGCCTACTTATATATATACCGGTTGCTATTCTTTTATTTATAGTCCCATCGGTGGTCTCTTTGATTCGCGAATATGTTTATTTAATTTAAGAACAACAGAGTTATCACTGTTAAACATCATCATAATCATATTAGGACTCCTCAATCCCCCTCTCTCACATGGTGCAACCGCAAGCCTACTGTATATCTACATCACCATGCAAGCCGATACTTACAAGCGGCATTATTCATATTATCACTATTATTATTGGAGATTTTGTTGTTGTTGCTGTACATGGCACCTACTTCGTCAAATGTTTCAGTACATCTGGTTGACTTAATCACACTGATAGCAATACTTGAATCGGACAAAACACAAAATATAATGATTTTTAAAATGCAGATTTGTGTTCATAAATTCCATAACATATTACCAGAAAAATCAGTAATAAGAAGGACATACTTTATACTTGCCCATGTATGTCTACCACCACGGTTTGCTAATCTATTCAAACGATCTGCTTTTCAGAAGACACCACGAGTGAGCTTTTTGAAGTTCGTCTTGGCGATGGAAGAAGCAGGAATGAAGGACGGGTTGAGGTGTTCTACAACACATCCTGGGGAACATTGTGTGGTGCTGGATGGGGCTTGAGAGAGGCCGACGTGGTCTGTAGAATGCTGGGGTTCACGGATGCTTCAGACGTGCTACAAAATGCAGCATTCGGTGAAGGAATCGGAATGGTCTTTCTGGAAGGTATCTCCTGTCTTGGATCAGAGAACAGCCTGCTTGACTGTACCTTCACATCTTTTGACGCGAACAGCTGTCCACATAGTCAGGATGTTGGAGTCATATGCAAAGACACAGGTGATTGCTCAGTTCAGTTCAGTTCAGCTCAGTTATTAATATAAAATGTGTTGTATCGGGACTTCACTGGAATATAGTTTTTTTTTTTTTTTTACTGTAGCCATTGAGGTACTAAATGATGAATAATTTAATCAGGCTAGATGGAATTGATTATATAATATCTAATAATTGAGCCTCAACCCCCCCCCCCCACCCCTACATCCCTCGAGGGGAAAAACTCTCTTGCAACTTGCGCTCACAGCCCTACATTCGAGATTCAGAAAATAATGTAGTAGGATTTTTAGCGACCAGATCATAAGCACTTTAAAAATTTAGTTAATTGAAGCTAAATTTCATGTTTTTTTTTCTTGCAGGTGCTCTGCAGCTATCGACGATCAGATTTGACCCAACAACCTCATTGGGACATCCAGAACATGTCTTTCAAGGTATGCCTGTGCCATCGGCTGAGAACAGTCGATCATTCTCACCTGTCTCAATAGTACTTGGAGCAATCTTGGCGGCGTCGTATGTACTGTTCCTGCTTTTAGGCCTCTATGGGTACCATCGACTTAGAAAGCTGGAAAGGATGACGAATAATAACTCGAGTGAACAGCCTACTTCAAAGGGAACAGGTTCTCCTGAAGCAGCATCAGCGTACCTGAATCTAACTTCACCTTCTAGGAAGTCCACAGAGACCCCTGGAAAGGAAGCTCCTGGTGAACTGATATACATGAACTTGGAGGTACCAGAAAACACCATCGGAGGAGACCAGGTTTACACAGATCTTTCGTTTACGAAGGGCAATGATCAGGAAGGTCCCAGACCCAAGTATAAAGCTCCCATGAAGCCGCCCGTTGGTCGCAAGCCTAAGTCTGGGAGGCTTGGATCTCCAGATAGAATTGACCCCTCACCCTTGACCCAACATGACCCAATATATGATAAATGTGACTGATTATGATAAAGATTATTGAAGGAGAGTTAGGAGGACTCAACACAATCGCAAATACTTTCGAGGAATCAGCCGAAGGCACTCTCCGATACCTTGTCGGTCTGCAAACATTACAACCATGTATTACGCAATCCTAACACGATTCCCATGAGATTTATATGTATAATAAGGTATTAAAATTGACTTTGAGCTGGTTTCCCGAAAGTCTTACCGATTGTGTTTTCTAGAAATTATAGCAGGACCTGTTACAAAATGCTCTATCGCGGGATAATTTCCACGTACAATCGGGATACAATAAGGATCTCCAAATGGCTCGGCAGATTTCAAACAAGGTTTCCCGAGAAGAAAATGTTTAAAGCTAATCTTGAGCTCTGGTATGGGCTGCGTATGTCGAGAGACCATGGCTATAATTAATTCTGGATTTTAAATCATGCAGTAGAATCCTGGATACCGTTGAGTAAAAAAAATAATTTTATCATAGAGATGTTTTTTAAACCCCAAATAGATCACTTGTTTTAGTATTGAGTGCATTGTAAATGGAGATGATGTATTTTCATAAACCATTGATTAATGGACTTTTAACATGATAGTGTATAAGCTGTAGGTTAGTTTAGACAACAATTAATTTCATCAGTTCTTTGAATTCGAAACATTTTTGTTAAAGCTAAGATTTTAACACGTGCAGGGGCGTCGCCAAAGGGGGGGGGGGGTGTGGGGGTGCGACACCCCCCACCTGTCAGGATATTGTCGGTAAAATTGCGCTGCCGTCGGGAAAAAGAGAAAAGGGGGAGGGAAAAAAAGAGAGGGAAAAAAAAGAGAGGGAAAAAAGAGAGGGAAAAAAAGAGAGGGGAAGGGAAAGAAAAGAAAAAAAGAAAGGGAAAAGAAAAGAAAGAAAGGAAAAGAAAGGAAAGAAAGGAAAAGAAAGGAAAGAAAAGAGAAGAAAGAAAGAGAAAAAAGAAAAAGAGGGGGGAGAGGAAAGAAAGGAAAAGAAAGAAAAGAAAGAAAGGGAAAAAAAAGAAGAAAAAAGAGTGAAAGGGAAACAAAAGAAACGGGGGATGAAAGAGAAAAGAGAGAGGGAAGGTAAGAGTCTGAGATAGGAGGAGTGGGAGTAAAGGAGAAAAGGGGGTTGTTGGGTGGAGTCGTCTCGTCGACGAAGCAAGAAAGACACGGGTAAATATGTTGCTGTGTCGGGTCAGCTGTGTCGGTTTTCTTGCTCGATCCTCATCAATGCATAAGTTTGAAGTCGGTGAGATGTATATTGTCGGTCGGCCGACAAGTTTTTTTCCCTACGAACTGCGACTTCTTATCCGCTGTGACGACTTCGAGAGTGACTACAACTACAAAACTTGTATTTTCTCGAAGTTTCACTTTCCTATAATATCAGCTAAAGAAATCAGAGGTTTAGCATTTTCGGGGAAACTAAATTCTAACAAGGTTTAAGAGTCAACAACGGTACGACGAATCATTTTCCTTTCTTTATATTGTGATGAAACGCCAAAAATTCCGCGCTTCGCGCGGAAGGAGAAACTTCATTTAGACGAATCGAGAACGGTACAACGAATCGTGTTCTTTCTCTAATAATTTAAGGAAACGTCAAGAGGGGGAACGCGAGAGGGGGAAACTGAATTCAGATGAATAGGGCTTAATAATAATAAGATTCGAAAACGGTACGAGGAATCGTCTTCCTTTCTCTATATTGTAATGAAACGCCAAAAATTCCGCGCTTCGCGCGGAAGGGGAAACTTCATTTAGACGAGTCCAAAACGAAACGACGAATCGTCTTCTTTCTCTAATAATTTAAGGAAACGTCAAAGCTTCCGCGCTTCGCGCGAGAGGGGGAAACTGAATTCAGACAAAATTAATAGGGCTTATTTAGAGTCGAAAACGGTACGACGAATCGTCTTCTTTCTCTAATAATTTAATGAAACGTCAAAACTTCCGCGCTTCGCGCGGGAGGGGGAAGCTTCATTCAGATTAGGATTAAGAGTCGAGAACAGTACACCGAATCGTCTGCTTTTTCTCATAATTTAATGAAACGTCAAAGCTTTCGCGCTTCGCGCGGGAGGGGGAAACTTCATTCAGCCTAGGATTACCAGTCGAAAACGGTACAATTAATCGTCTTCTTTTCCTAATAATTTAAGGAAACGTCTAAGCTTCCGCGCTTCGCGCGGGAGGCTCATCACCCACACCCCCTTATGAGCGCGCTTTTAAGTGATTCTCTTGCTCACTACCGCCCCTCCCTAAAATAAGATCCTAGCTCCGCGCCTGTATTAAAATATATAGCTATGATGCTGACTAAATTTAAGAAATAATTCGTATATTAATGTCGTCGAGGAAAATGACCATTTTGCGCATATGCAAATAGATAGTCCATAGGAAAAACAATTTAGCCTTCGGCTCCAGGTTTATAGGGTTGACCTTGTAGATATTGGAAATTTAATTTTGTCGGTAATTGGTGGCTACTTTTGTCGGTAATCGTTGGCCTCTACACCCCCCCCCCCCCCCCCCCCCCCCCACTGAAAAAGGTATAGCGACGCCCCTGAACACGTGCACTATGTGAGCGGGTGCGGAGGTTAAACAAAATGTTTAAACAGATTGACATGATATGACAATTATGATCACGTACAGGCATGTATAAAGCACAATATTCTCCTCTTTAAGTACATGTTTATAATGCAATACGTACATGTTTGTATCTTGTGAAAATATGATGCATGGAAGCTACATTTTAAGGAATGATTAGCTATTGTTAAAAGTAGATTGTTCGAATTTGTTAGCATAACAAATTGCCGAATTGTTTCTACACAATTAATATAGGATTTCCTGGCGAGTTTGTCATTCTAATTAATTTTTCTTGCGTTCAAATTCGACGGTTTTAGTGCAGTCAGGTATATCTTGGGTTTATATTCCCTTTTCTAGTTTTCACATCTATGGAATTTTCGTTAGAATCTACGTATGTTTCATTCAAATTAATGAACAATGTGCTTCTTTCGCTATTTAGTCATTCGATTTGGCGCAACACGATTTTCTGACAACGCGACGGTGTACTTCTAGCATTCTAATAATAATAATAATAATAATAATAATAATAATAATAATAATAATAGTACATTTATAAAGCGCAGAAACTATCCAACATTAGGTATATATTTGTAGCATTCAAATGAGCACTTTGTGCACTTAAATTGATGGTCAATATACCTTTCTCGTTTATTACACACTTTTTATAGCTCATTTCTTTTCTTTCAAGATTGTCTTTTCATGTGTATTTCATCATATGTCATTTTCTTATACTTATTAGATTTATCTGATATTCATCAGCATTTAAGTTTGATTGTTAAGAAGAAAAAAAAAACGACTTGCATCTACGGACCTGATGGTCTCAGTATATTTGTAAATGTTCATGTAAGGAAGTTGTTTATTTTAGGGGCTCTCTGGGAGCAGACGTGCGTGGGTTCGAATGCATTTTGGAAACAGGATTGTGTCTGGGCTACGGTCTACATTATTGTATACACTACTGTAACATGATTGTTCATGTCTACTGCCTCGCTCGGGTGACCTCGTTCAATGACCTCGTTTAATGACCTCAATATTTTAAAGTGACTACTGTCTCATCTCTTTGGTAACAAATTAATTTGCTTGCTGTACTTGCTATTTTTGCTATTTTTGCTTGTTTCACGTTGTATAATAAATCATCTTATGTTACGTCCTCTACCATTACAACTACTTCAATCAAATGTTAGTTTTATTTATGGGAACCTATAATCTACAAGCTAAGCTTTTTAATAGGTTCCTCACATTTCACTCTGTATAACCTTATATTCATTACAATTAATTTCGACGTCTTTTCAAAGAACTAATTATATAATGTGACACTTTTAGCATATTTCATATTATGTTCTATTTTTGTCAATTATGTAAATTCTTTTTATTTGTGAAATGTGAAATAAACTTGAAACTTGAAACTTGAAACTTATGTTTCATCATAAATTTATCATAATTTCATCATAATTTCATAATGGAAGAAGGGTACAATATTGTGACTGGGGTAGGGACTAGAGTCAACAATTTGAACATGATTCATTATTTAGCCATGTCTTTAGCCATCGATCTGCTGGCGGGCAAGTAAACTATGAAACTCTTTAGGAAAACAAAGGGGTGTGCTGGGTATAAGAGACGATATGAATTACTTTTGTAAAATTCCGAGTCTGTAGTGAGGGTACCCCCAACTTTCCCGGGTATATGAACATGTCCGTGCAGAAATGCCATATCCCTTGATTCTGCCCCTTCTTTACTTTATGTCTGACTACACCCATCTGCACTGTCCTGAAAATAAATAAATGCAATAACTGCTTAGACCCCAATGGCAAATCATGCATTTTAACTGCATTATTTAAAAACTGTAAAAGTTTGTTGCAATCCTTCCCCCTAACATTCCTAACTTGAATAAAAGTATTACGAATACGAATGACAGCTGGTGTTAATTTGAATGATAAAAATTACGCTTCGACAAGTGAATATTAATTTGAATGCTAGTTGAGCAGTTTCTAAATTGAATGACAGATCTATGAAACCCTTCGACCAAAATCCTAAATTAGATACAAAAACTGGAAAATTGAATGATAATTGGCATGGCAAAGCCGATCTGCGCTAACTTAAATGCAAAGTAAATGAATTCGAATGACAAACACGCGAATTTGGCCGGGAAATCCTATAGAAAACGTGATAGTCTATGCGAGCCTAAATTTTGTTTCATTTGTAACCCGATTAACATATAGGAAGGTTATTGTTTTAATGTTTGCACATAGTATGCACAACGTAATTTCATATTATATATTACATAAAAATTATTTAAGATTTTTATTTATAGAATTTGTGATATTCCCATAAAACTTTGCAATAAATTGAACACAACGCCAAGTTCCTTGTTTTGCTTCCGATTTATTTGTTTCCTGGCTTTTGAACCCATGTGGGGTGTATGGAGGAAGACAGTGGGAGGGTGATGTGAGGGGTAGCCGCGAGTGTGGGTAGGGTGGAGTAGGCCTAACGGGTGTGGGTTAGTTTAGGATGGATGAGGGTGTAGTGAGTGGGAGTGGAGTGAAAGTAGGAGTGTGGGTTAAAAGGGTGGGGTAAGTGGTGGGTGCATTGGTGAGGAAGGAGTAGAGAGGTGTGGGTTAGTTTGGGATGGGGGTAGGGTGGGTGAGTGGTAGGCAAGTACGTTGGTAGGAGTAGGTGAATGTGGATTAAGTTAGGACAAGTGAGGGTTGGGAGGTGTGGGGAAGGTGGGTGGATTAAGAAGGCGCGTGTGGGTATGAGGTATATGGGAAAGGATGTTCGGCATTTATGAATGTGGCAACGCAACCAATGGTGTGAGTTACGTGTGTGAAATCTGGGCGAGGGAGGGGCAGGTGAGTGTTGATGAGTGAGAATGAGGTACTGTGTGCGATATTGTGAGCGAGGGAAATGGATTGGTGTGAGTCTATTTTAGGGTAGATGGATGAAGAAAACAAATTTGTTCCAAAAACTTCCCTTCTCTACCCCCTTTCTCTCTCTCCCCCCCTCTCTCTCTCTCTCTCTCTCTCTCTTTCTCTCTCTATATCTTTCTCTTTGTAACTAGATCATACATCCCCTTTAAAGGGATAGTTGAGTTCTGTTTTCAGACTGCAAATGCCTTCAAAGTGCATGGTTATTGCTCTTATTCTTATCTATGAAATTTCTAGTGCCCTTTTAGAACCTAAAATTGCTACGAACGGTTAATTTTAGACCCCAAAATGTGTTAATTTAGCCAATACGATCATACCAATACAGCTCCACTTTCACAAAACATGGTGACCGTTAATTAATTTTTTAATTAAAAATAACAATACTTGGTCCGGCTGGTTGTGCGTAATACAAAGAACACGAAAATGCCAACAAAAAAGCTAGCATCGGCATTGGCTGAAATACGACTTAAAAGCCGTTATTTCGTTTTTTCAACGGTTTTTTTCAAATTTTTCAAAATGTCTAATATTTGTGGTGGTACGAAATCGTTATATTTATGGATATTTCAGCCGTCTCTGAACCGATTTTGATCAAACAAAGATGATTTTGTCGTTTAAATATTATGTTCTTTCAAATTTGACACTCAGTTTTTCATTATCTCACAAAAAAATTATTTTGTGTAGCGCCCTCTGCAACAGAACTCAACTATCCCTTTAATAAGACTTACATAGTTAAAAAAAAGACTTACAAATTAAAAAAACACTATTAGTTTTGTAAAAGACCAAACTGCATTTCACGTGCTTTTCAAGGAAAAACTAAATTATAATTAGAGGCCTGCATCTGATAGCATGCAAGGTTGATAAGAACATTTCTTCAAAATTAAAGACTTTTACGATTTTACGACGTTTAGATGTAACTAGAACGATTCTAATGCTCCCTATTTTTTTTTCTCTCTCTCTTTCTCTCTCTCTCTCTCTCTCTCTCTTCCTCTTTACTTCATTTTTCCTGTAAGTAAGACTTTCATAATGCACTTTAAAAAACACAATCTGTTTTGCAAGAGATTAGCCTCCCCTTCTCCTGCTTTTAAAGGGAAAACTATGCTTCTTTTTTAGGCGTGCATGTGATAGCTTGCAAGTTTCTTCAGAAACTTAAAGACTCTTACGATTTAAAAAGTACATATAAATGATAGGTAGTTAGATCCTAAAGCTCCCCCCTCTCTCTCTCTCTCTCTGTCTCTCTCTATCCCTCTGCACAATCTTTCCGTCTCTTTCTTTCCGCATCTCTCCTTTTTTTATTCTTTCACTATCTCTCTCTCTCTCTCACTCTCTCTCTCTCTCTCTCTCCCACTTTTCTACCAATTGCATCTAATTTCACATACTCTAAATTTATTTTCCTTCAACTTGTGTCCTATGTATATTGATTATTTCGTTGTTTGTTTGATTTGTTTTAGTTCAGCGCTGGATAACCGAAACAAATCTTGCAACATATGAAATGGCTCTTACATCAAGAAGGATTGGGGGGGGGGTGGGATTGACACATATATATATAGATCATGATTGAATGGTCATCTTGGATTTCTAGGTGTCCTGATGGCCATAACCCATTTAAGTAATATGGATGGATTCTTCGACCCCAGAGCCAAGGCATAGACACTAAAATACCATCACAAAGATGGATGTATCACGATTTGTCGCTAATTTAAAGTATTAGCGGCCCACTTAGACGCCATTTTGAAGAAAAAAGAAAAACAATTTTCGGGGGTTCGATTTTTTTAGATATTTAGTTTGTGTTCCTGATGTCAAACACTACCGAAACCGTTGTAAAACCATTTTTTGCAATATTTGGGCCGAACCCCATATTGACCCGAGTACCTGTTGTTGTTAATCTACTATCATGGCTCTGTGTTTTGATTTTTTTGTGTGTAATGAGTCTGTATGTGCAGACTACAATGTAATGGCAAAGTTTCTTTCCTCATATTTTGTTTTGAGTGTAGAGCATGCACAGTATCATTACCTCTAAGTATATCTTAAGTGGTTTGGCATTTTGATAATTTTCCCATTCCTCCAGATTATTATAACGCGTTGAACTCGATTGAGGAAATAAAGACTAAAATGTATTTAGTCTATTCTTGCCTTCACATCCTTGCTTTGATGGGCTGATAAACATCGAACTCGACCTTTCGGTAGATGTCTTATAATCTTTCTTTTTTTAATCAGTCATTCGGCATCTGATCTGATCTGGATTTTGATGAGGATGAGGATGAAGGCCTTGGTGTTTTATCCCGTGGTGATTATAATCGCCCTGAGCATGAGAAGTAAGTTTTAGTGAGAGTTTTGGTTATGAAATTATGTCAGCTATCAGTCCTATACGTGAGCTGATTGGGTTTGATTTTATTTATCATACGGGCAGATTTCTTTATTACAGGAGTTCTATTAAATCAAAGTCAGATTTATTAACGAGCAATACAACTACTTTTAACTGTTGATTACTGTTGTTAGTTAGTCTTGATTCCTCAATATTTAGTTTAATGTAAGATTATATCCTATTGATTGATTAAAGCTATTATTTATCGAATTAACGATCAAATAAATACGTGTATATTCCTTTTAACAAATGGTTTTGTTTATCACAGATGTTAATGTAAATATAAACCAACGTGCGTCACATTGACAAAACTGTGTAACCATTTAGCAATATTTCATCCTCTAGCAATTTTGCCACATTATTGCATGATCTCTGAAAGATTGACCTGCATATAATGCAGAAAATGATTTTGATTCGTCTAGAAAATAGAATTACTCACCTTCATACCATCAGTATTTCGTTCTTTAAATCGGTTAGTAGTACACGGCGTAGCTACAGTGGGGAGGTGCCATTTTAAAGGAGAGATTGGCCAACCAGGTTTGAGTTGGGCACACAAATATTGCTAATTTGTTGGGCAAGCACATGCGAATACTCGATAAGCTATCGTGTGACCAACCGGGGTGAGCGAACTGGCTCACAGTCCCAAATACACAATGACGGTCACCCAACGTTTGGTATTCAGAAACATTCTTGTCCACAGCCCCCATGTTTTGTAAACCCTGAGTATGCCTGGTATGTGGTGTTGAAAGTTATATGATATTGTTAAAAAAAAACAATTTAGAATCCCTGAAAGTACATATTTGACGGTTAGTTTCATTTCGGATATAGCTACTTCCGATATTGAGTTCCTTGATTTACTCGGGTAAAAATTCAAGTGCAATTCAAACTAAAAATGTTCAACAATGTTGGCTATAAATCGGACACACTCACGAAAATATTTCTTTAATCCCTTTTCGGAAAAATTAAATCTTGACTCATGAATGAAAGATAACAATAATTATCATTTTGTATCGAAAATTACTTTGTCTAATGTATGAGTAGTAGTAGTAGTAGTAGTTGTAATAGTAGTAGTAGTAGTAGTAGTAGTAGTAGTGTTAGTAGTAGTAGTAGTAGTAGTAGTAGTAGTAGTAGTAGTAGGCCTAGTAGTAGTAATGTGTGACTGTAGTTGAGGTCGCTGACAAAAAAGAGATAATATAGATTAACATTGAATCCGTTTAACATCGATTCCTCAATATAGACTGTAATCCCAACATACAGTGAAAGGGTCACTCATAAGATTAGGCGCTAGAAGTGGGGGGGGGGGGCAGGGGCAGGGGGTGCTCGCCCCCAGTAAAGATGGTTTGTATTTTGTAAAATGAAAAAAAACATTAAAAGAATAAAACCTGTATTGAATCATATATAAAATACATTCCTTTCAAAGAAAGGGAAGGTTAACTGGAATTAAATTTCCTAAACATTCCTGTATTTATCAATTGAGGTTTCTATAACAGCGATACGCTCATATATCGTGGAAATATTGTAAGAGGATGAGAAGCTGTGTTTTTTATTAAAGGGGTGAGAAGACACGAGCCCCTGAACACGTACTGATAGAGGGGGGGGGGTATTTCTAATTGGATACCAGTGATTTACAAATGTTGCTGAAATAACATGATTTGTAGGTATTTTTTGCAATTTTGTGTGAATCATACCTTTGTATGCATTTGTTGAAAAATTGGAGATCTCTAAATTTACAGTCGGGCGAAAAATATGCTTATTTAGAAGCCTTCATGTCAGGGCCAGCAGAAAGGCGGAGCTCGGGGGCTCAAGCCCCCCCCCTCCCGCCTCCATTAGTAAGAGAGAAAATGAATGACCTGCCAGTGTCACAAATTAGGTATCAAATATTGTCATCTGACCGTAATTAAATGCCTAAAACCTCTGAGCCAACCAGGGCGGGTCCCTGGATGCTCATCTGACCGTTTTCAATGCCTAACAACCCTGAGCGTCCGGGGCTCAGTCCCTTGATCCCCGCCGGGGTAAAGCCCCTGGACCCTAGGCCAATTTACGCGCACAACTAAATCCTCTCTTTCACTTTCACAACAGGGCGGCCGTGTGATAATGAAAGTAAATCCTTATTCTCATACTGTCATACATCCAATCAACATGTTCATACTACTTTAAATTGGGACTTTATAGACTGCCGTTACAAAAAGCATTTATGTACTATGATTTTTAAGATATTAAATAATTACACTCCGTCTTATATGTCAAATAATATCAAATATCGCACGTATAATTATTTATTTCGCTCGTCCCGAAATCTAGATCTCCCTAAAAAATTGCAAAAGAACATTCTTCTAGGGGGGGGGGGGGGCGACACAATGTAACCAACTACCAGAATACATCCGAAATGTAACTCATTAAGATCCTTCCATACCCTAATAACTGATTATTTTTCTTAACACACTTCCTTAAACTCAAATGACTTTTGCATAACTGTGTGTGTGTGCGTATGTGTGGGTGTGTGTGTGCGTGTGCGCGTGTGTGGGTGTGTGTGTTCGTGTGTGTGTGTTTGTGTGTGCGTGCGTGCGCGCGTATGATGTTATTTTAGAATTTTGTTGCTTTGGTATTTTTAAAAGCTTGTATTTATGTTTTGTTTCTATTATACTTTATGTTGCTTTTATGTTAATATTGTAGTGTAAGAAAGCCAAGGAAGAACAGAAGTGTTCTATAAACATTGCTGAATTGGGCTTCCCACCGGTTTTTGTCTATGTACATGTATAATTATTTCATTTTGTATATTTTACTATGTATAATATTTGTATCTGATTTCGGAAATATAAACAACAACAACAACAAGCATGTGCAATGCATTAATGCAGATAGTAGTTGCCTACATTACTGTATTACCTATGTCTATGTGCAATGTTCGCTGAGCTAAGACCAAACTAAATTTTCAGGCTTATAATTTGACATTTAATAATTAAGGATGAATCAATGTTTCAACTATCCTCTTTGCCTCCAGATTTGACTTAAAAAAAGCCCCATAATTCTGAATGCTCTGGATACAAGGAAGTTTGGTAAAAAAAAAAAAATATTCAGTCAAGATGTTTTTCTTATCACTTCAGATGGCCACTTGACTGCGTTATCATAATTTCGAACTCAAGGTTTCAGTACTTTGAATGTACATGTCAATCATAATTTTAACCTTTGACTTTAAGGGAAATATATGACCTTCACACATGAAATTCTTCATGATTTGTTCATTCAAGTTATAAAAGGATAAATATGCACATTTCCAACAACTTTCATTACAGATAATAATAATAATAACAACAATAATAGTAAAATTAATAATAATATAGAGTATTTGTAATGCGCCAACTCCACATGACTGTGTTCGAGGCGTATGGAGAAGAAAAACTATAAGTACACAAAAATACACAAAAAATGAACAACAACAATGTGAAAGTAAATTTAAATCTGCTGGAAAGCCGCTTTAAACAAATAAGTTTTGAAGGCATGTTTAAAGCAATCTACACTTGAAATATAACGAATATGTTGTGGCAATTGATTCCATAGGTGAGGTCCAGCGTGTGCAAATGACCGATCCCCCAGGATCCTTACTTTTCGGAACAACAATCAATTGAGAATCGGATGTTCTTAAAGCGTCTAGGAGGATTATAAAGCATTAACAAATTAGTAGTAGTACTAATGATAACAATAACATTAATAGTAATTGCAGTTGTAGTAGTAGTTTTAGTAGAAGTAGTAGAAGTAGAAGTAGTAGTAGTAGTAGTAGTAGTAGTAGTAGTTGTTGTATAAGAGGTAGTACCTATAAAAGTTGTAATAGTCGTGGCAGTGGTCATAGTATTTAATAGACGTATATAGAAGTATTGGTATTATTATTCATGAAAGGGAAATAAACGTAGTCCACTGATTCTAGGCACTGAGAGTCTCTCTTTTTCAAGATGGATTCAACATTCTTTCTTTTGTCTAACAAGTTCCCTGTGCCTTTGGTCTGGATGTACGTCTAATTGGAGGACCTGACATCTACAGTGGTCGAGTAGAGGTTCGTCATAATGGTGTCTGGGGTACTGTCTGCGATGACGGGTGGGATATCCAAGCTGCAACAGTCGTCTGTAAAATGCTTGGCTTTGAGAACGCATCGATGTCCACTGGTTATGCATCATATGGCGAAGGCTCAGGCAGTATCTTCCTGGATAATGTTCACTGCAGTGGACTGGAGACCGATCTAGGAGAGTGCAGTCACCGTGGGTTTGAAGTTCATGATTGTCAACATAACGAGGATGCGGGCGTTGTGTGCTCTCGAAACGGTATACCAATCATTCTCTTTTAACAATAGGGCTAGCTGATCAGACCCCAATCAAAACGATGAACTATATGCATGGTATAATCAATTAAACTAAAGATCCAAGTGCATGACCACATTTAAAAGATTAACACGTTGCAGTTCTGCATATAAATCATTCCGGACACTGATACACTTCTGAACGTAAGTTGCATCAATGAAGTAGAATAGTTAGCGTTTAGATGATATCGTTAAAGTCGAACCTAAAAACAATAGTAACTGAATTATTATTCTAACAATAAGACAAAGGCGTTGAGTGCATGTCATAAACTTACACGACTTTCCATGCCTTTTAATGATAATAAGCATAATAATAGTAACATTTATAAAACTTTAATGCTTATGTTTCTTAGCGCTGTACTATAATTACCCCGGCATTGCCCGAGCGGCCCAGGTGAGGCGTTCCGGCGCTCTGACACTGGAGGAATTTCCTCCTACCAGGTACCAAATTAGCTTACATCATCTGGGTGGAGAGTGGCAAACGCAGATAAACTTCTTGCCAAAGGATGTTAGTGCAAAAGTGGGACTCGAAACGTTTATTGTTTACTCATTAACAAAGGGGGAGCGATTTGGGAGCGAATTATCATTATAGTTAATGTAGTTATTGGTGAGCTCTAACCGGCATGTTGAACATATTAAAATACAAATTGTGACGAGGAGGTTTATATCAACATTATGTCCTCGAAAATATGGATACAAAATCAATTCTAGGCTAATGGCCGTCTAAGCTCTCAAAGATGGCGACCTTCTTCATTCCTGTAAGACAAGTCAGAAATCTTAGGTGTGATTATTTGTGTATCTATATTCTGTAGCTTAGTGTTTCCATCCCTTGTATATACGGTACATTCTTTTTATTTACGTTGCCATATTGTTAATGTATGTATTTTGTTCACTATAGGGCCCCGCTCACAAGCTTAGCTTCTAAAGAGTAAAGGGGTCCTAAAACTATTCATTGTTTATAAAGTAATCAAGTTAATATAATTTTGATTAATGTACTATTACCAGTTTCTTTTTTATGTAAAATATTACATGTTTTGTGTGGTTTTGAATGAAATGAACTTGTACTTGAACTTGAAATGAAGTAATGGATCAATAAATAAGTACACGGCATTTAGCAGGAACCTTTTTCCTGCCATGGCACAGAATCACATGCTTAATACGTGTTAATTACAGTTAGTCTAATAAGCCTAAATACTTACAACTCCCGCCCCATTATTTATTTATTAATTTGTTTAGATCCCGATCTTCAAGTTCGTCTAGTTGATGGACAAACCGCCTTAGAAGGTCGCGTTGAGGTGGTCTTTAACGGTTCTTGGGGAACAGTTTGCGATGATTTCTGGGACTTGGACGACGCCAGAGTTGTATGCAGAATGCTTGGCTTTCAGACCGCAATGAGAGCAGTCTCAAGTGCTGGATACGGTGAAGGTTCTGGAAGCATCATTCTTGATGACGTCGAATGCCTTGGGACAGAACGCAACCTTGCTGAATGCTCCCACAATGGATATGAGATTCATAATTGTGTACACAGCGAAGACGCTGGTGCTGTCTGCGCTAATGGTGAGATATTATTCTTGTACTCATACGGATTATGTAAAGTAAAGCGAAGGCAGAGGCAATTTATTCCTGGATCATTATCCACAGCAGTGGACCGGATACTGATCTAGGAGAGTGCAGTCACGATGGGTTGAAAGTTCATAATTTTCAACGTAACGACGATGCAGGCGTTGTGTGCTCTGAAAACGGGATACCAATCACCGTCTTCTAGAAAATATGGATGCAAAATCATTTTTGGTGAATGGCCGGCTAGGCTCTCAGGGATGACGACCTTCTCCATTCCTGTAATGTATAGACAAGTCAGAAATCTTAGAGCATAATTATACTGTGGATGAATGAGGTAATGAATGAATTAATAAGTTCACGCAATTTAGCCGGCAAGATTTTCCTGCAATGGCTCAAAATCACATTGAAATGCTTAATACATGTTAATTACAGTTAGTATAATAGCCTAAATACTTACAACTCCCACCCCCACCCCCATTATGTATTTATTCTTTTATTCATCATTCATATAATTTTATGCAAGTTCGTCTAGTTGGTGGACGAACCGCCTTAGAAGGTCGCGTTGAAGTGCTCTTTGAAGGTTCTTGGGGAACAGTTTGCGATGATGGCTGGGACTTGAACGACGTCAGAGTTGTATGCAGAATGCTTGGCTTTGAGACCGCAGTGAGAGCAGTCACGAGCGCTGAATACGGACCAGGTTCTGGAAGCATCATTCTTGATGAAGTCAGATGCCTTGGGACAGAACGCAACCTTGATGAATGCACCCACAGGGGATATGAGAATCATAATTGTGGACATAGCGAAGAGGCTGGTGCTGTCTGCGCTAATGGTGAGATACTGATATACTCATACTGATTATACAAAATGTGGCGAAGGCTCGGGCAGCATCTTCGTACATAATGACCACTGCAGAGTGATCTGATCTAATGAAGTTTGATCTAGGAGAGAGCATCCACAATGGCCCGAATTCTCAAAGGAGGTTTGTCGACAAACCTTGGTTTTCGTACGTCATATGACGCATTTTACGCGTTTTTTACAAACCTGGTTTGTAAAGAATAAAAGGAGGTTTGGCGAAACATAAGGAGGTTTGAGCTCAAACCTTGGTCTGAGCTCAAACCTTGCTTTGTGAATTCGGGCCAATTGCGTTTGAAGTTCATAATATTGTCAACGTAACGAGGATGCGGGCGTTGTGTGCTCTCAAAACGGCATACCAATCATTCTCTTTTAAATGGATAGCTGATCAGATTCATGATTCTGGACATAGCGAAGACGCTGGTGCTGTCTGCGCTAATGGTGAGATTATGCTCATGGAACTCAAAGGTTTTTTAAAGAGGGTGACGTATTCAAGGAAAATCCAAACTTAATAGAATACTCGCCTGAAAAGAAAGCAGGAAAAATAGAGAAGCATACAGACTGGTGAAAGTTAGAATGAAATTGGAGAAAAAGAAGAAAGTTATGATTGTTCGAAGTTGTAATCCTCAAATTTACCGAATCGCTAACGTCTACATTTGTTTCAACTCCCAAAATGACTAAAGTATCCTTTTGTATTCCAAATGTATAACTTAGGACGGTCTTTCTCTTTTTTAGAGGACCTATAATAATATGCTATATTTAGAGTAGTTTTCCAAGGGAAAAAGCACCATGTCAACGTCATAATCCATCACAAAATTCGTCGCTGTTTTCACGAAGTGACGGTAGTGAAAAAAAATTGCATTCACTTTGCGTTACGATTTTCCTCACTACCGTCACTTCGTGAAAACAAGAACGAATTGTTTGTTTTTATAATCTATCCCATTCAGTATGACTTTTGTCTATTCTAAACTAATTCAATACTATATACCTCGCTTCTCATAAATTATCTTACACTGCTTATGCTTTAAAAAAAAAAAAGCTGTCAATAATGGCGATATGTGTTCTCCTAAAGTCAGTATGCTTTAAATTTCCTTTATTAATGGTTCAATATATATCAATTACATATTTATTGTTCTTCCACTAAAGGGCTATATACTTTTCTAAAATTGTTATAGCTAAAGTTTTTTCAGCTTACACTAAAATAATCTTTTACCTAGCGATTTGTTCACGTTATTTCATGATCTCTACGCGATTGACCTGCTCATGATGTCTAGAATTACTCGCCTTCAATCCATCAATATTTCGTCCTTTAATACGTTTTATTACAATGGCGTAGCTTCAGGGGAAAGTGCCATTGTTCAAGAAAGATTGACCAACCCTGTTCGAGTTGGGCACGTGCATACTGCTTTGTTGGGCAAGCACAGGAATAAAAAAAAATACGTTTCAATTGTGACCCGCGGGAGCACGTGCCCCCTTCCCCTCTCCCCTTCTCGTGGTGGCAAAAAAAAAAGGATAAATAAAAGGCGAGGAAAGGGAGAAAGGAAAAGGGGAAATGGATGGGAGGAGGAGGTGCCTAGACCACCTGATATTCGTTTTTGTTTTCTGAATGAGGCGACGTCCGCCCCTCCCAAAATCGTCAAAATGTCCCAGAAGCATTTAGGTTATATAATTATCGGTGTGCTCTAACCGGCATGATCAACCCCCTCGTCACAAATTCATATATTATATGAATTTGTGACGAGGGGTTGATATAAACATCCTGTTCGCAATAATATGGATTTTAAAAAAAAATCAATTTCTGACGAGTGGCCAGCTAAGCACTCAAGGGTGGTGACCTTCTCGACTCCATTAATGAATAGACAAGTGAGAAATCCAGATCAGGGGATAATCATAAATGGGGAGCGATTTGGGAGCGATTTATCATTGTACATTTAGGTCATATAGTACTGTTCTCGGTTAGCTCTAACCGGCATGTTGAAACCTATTTATATGAAATTTGTGACGAGGAGGTTGATATCAACATCCTGTTGGGGGAAAATATGGATACAAAATCAATTTTTGGTGAATGGCCGGCAAAGCTTTCAAGGATGGCGACCTTCTTTACTCCTGTAATGTATAGACAAGTCGGAATACTCAGGGGATGATGATAAATGAAGTAATGGATCAACCAATAAGCACACGACATTTAAAGATAAACTTGAGTTTTGGTAATGCGATTGCATTGTGAAAGAAAAGGTGTGGAATGGATCGGAAAAGTTGATCATATAGCATGTAAGTAATGGTGTGTATATGGGACAACACACATGGTGTCGGGGCTAGTACTACCCTGATTTCCTTATCTTTCTATGCTCATTACTCAGCCAGTATACATTTTCTTCCAAAATTGTTTGGCACATGACCTTTATTTGTAATCTTGAACATTCAGTGTAAGTTTCGTTAGATTCTGTGAGAATTCATTTTCTTTTTTTACCAGAACTCAAGTTTATCTTTAACGAGCAAACATTTGCTGCCAAAGCTCAAAAACATATTGAAAAGCTTAATACATGTTGATTAGCATTCACTCTGGGGACCTCCCTCCTGCCCTTGCTCAAATCTTTAAAAGAAATAACAAAATTCACAGCTATAATACTAGACAGGCTTCTGCTCTCCATTTACCATATATGCAAGGACAAGGACTCTGAATACTCTAATGTCCACTGGCCCCAGGTTCTGGAATTCACTTGTTACTACTATAACAAATGCTTCAAGTATCTCAGTTTTTAAACGTAGACTTAAGCCATATTTATTTCACAAGTATGTCGATGACACATTAATGTGTTAACAAGCTTTATTTTTCGTGTACTGTAGCATATTTAACTCTACTCTCGATCTATTTTTTGTTATTTCTTGACTTTGACATAATCCCCTTATCCTTTTTCTTTTTTCTTCTTCTTTCTCATCGGTACATATACCATATATTCCTACTTGTCGTTCTTGACCTCTGCACTCAGAGAGCAATAACTAATTAATGTCTCGATTTGGTGTCAGCTTGGGTTTGTCCATATTAGATCGCCCTCCCATGGGTGGGTTGATTTTTGCTCATAATGATACATTTTTTTTCACATATACGGTGAGTTTGTTAGCTCACCCGGTGTGATGGGGATGTGTGCATCTTTAGGTATACTTGTTGTAGTCATCCACGCTGTGGTCGATGCTTCGTTTGGTAGTTGTTCTCTGAGAGTATTTTGTAAATAGTTTTATATATTCCATATTATATCCTGCATCAAAAATTTGTTGGCTTCTGATTGGTTGAGAGCTCGTCACATGACCAAAAATATTTGAGCTATTTTTAGAAAGTACTATATGAGAGTACTATTTTGGTTTACTATTTGGGAGTTGAAAAAAAAATGTGAATTTTTTTTTTGAATTGAATCAATTTTTTTTTAAAATCTTAATTCAATGAAAACAAAATATTTTAAATCTTTTTTAGATAAAAATTGACATTTTTTTGTTCTAAATTTTTTTTTCCCAAAAATGTTTTTTTTTTTTAGTTTTTTTTTTTAAATAAATTTTTGATGCAGGATATAAAACAAATATACCATGCCTTCTATTCGAGGTACTGGTTAAACTATGGGCCTCGGTGACTCCAAAAGTACCATTTGCTTCGGGGCTGCGCCCCTCAGCAAATAGTACTATTGGAGTCACCTCTTGCGCATAGTTTTAACCAGAACCTCTCAAGGCAGTGTATATTTGTATATTAATTTTGTTGTTGTATTCATGATCAGTTATCTTTGTCACATCATATGAGGGGGCCTTAACTTAACAAGCTGTGCTTCAACCAAGGTCTCCTCGTCTTTCTGTATTCTACATTATACTGTTATGATTATAATCTATTATATTTTGTCACATGTCTTTTCTGGAAGACAAATAAACTTGATACTTGATACTTGATACTTGATTACAATTAGTAAAATAAGCCTAATACCTACGACTCGCGACCTAGTATTTATTTATTCTTTTATTTAGATCCAGATCTTCAAGTTCGTCTAGTTGGTGGACAAACCGCCTTAGAAGGTCGCGTTGAGGTGTTTTTTAACGGTTCTTGGGGAACAGTTTGTGATGATTCCTGGGATTTGAACGACGCCAGAGTTGTATGCAGAATGCTTGGCTTTCAGATCGCAGTGAGAGCAGTCGCGAGCGCTGAATACGGACCAGGTTCTGGAAGCATCATTTTTGACAATGTCAGATGCCTTGGGACAGAACGCAACCTCGCTGAATGCTTCCACAATGGATATGAGAATCATGATTGTGGACATAGCGAAGACGCTGGTGCTGTCTGTGCTAATGGTGAGATTATATTCATGGAATCCAAACGTTATAGAGGGGACGTATTACAGGAAAATCCAAACTTAATAGATAACTCCCCTAAAAGAAAGCTGGAAAGTCAGAGAGGCATGTAGACTGGTGAAAGTTAGAACGAAATCGGACAAGAAGAAGGTTATCGGAATCGTTTGAAATTGTAATCACTGTATGGGTACGTCAAATTGACCGAATCACTAATGTCACTGTGACGTGTTGCCGGTCAATTTTCCCATTTGTTTCAACTCACAAAATGACTAATACATATTTTTTGTTTTAAGGGTCTTCTTTATTTATAGAGGACCTATAATAATATGCTTTATATACCTCACTTAAGGAATCCAGCCATCTGATTGGTCGAAAATGCATTCATAAACTTTAACTATTCCTGTAAAATTCCCGGTAAAATTCCAAACCCATGTAATAGTTCTAAAAAATAGTTCTAAAATCCCAGTAACCATGGTTACCGGGAAAAAAGTTCAGTCTTGGTGAAATACCCATAGGTTGACATGTTAAAAAATGGTCTGAGCGATCGAGGATACCGTACGTGTGCGATGAATTGGTCGGTAATTTCAATACAATTGCATTTCGATCGATCTTACCGACAATTTTATCTTGCATTGTTTACATGAAGACGAAAATAAACTTCCAAAAACAACATCTGCCGATAGATCTTGATCTAAGTTGGTGCCAATGCATTGCAAAAGTAAAAGAAGGGCTTTAATGGAGCTGCCTTGAAGCATCCAGCACGCGAAGCCGTTTTCAATCCATTTTAATGTATAGATCAGATAAAACTGCAAGATTTGGTATCAATGCGCAATGGCCGAGCGGTCTACGGCGGTGATTTAAGTCAAATCATCGTTGAGGCGCTAGAGATCGAGTCCCATCTTCGACAAAAGTTGTTTGATTTTTATTTTTTATTTTTTAGTCTACTCTCAAAGATACACTCATGAAAAACAACCGTGCAGATAAACTAGATAAAGGCCAAGGTGGTGTCATAAGTTGAGTCTTTTTTTTCGGCATATGAAAGTATTAATGACTGCTTTAATATTCGAGAAATAGTTGTTTTTATACGCTCTCGGGAAGGTTACAAGTGGGCTATTGCCCTCGGCACGCCTCGGGCAATAGCACGATTCTAACCTTCTCTTGAGATTATAAAAACAACTATTTCTCTCAAAGCAGTCATTAATACTATACTATTTAGAGTAGTTTCCCAAGGGAGAAGGTACCATGTCAACGTAATGATCCACTGACCAAATTGATTTTTAAAATCCCATTCAGTATAGCCTAACTTTCGTCTATTCTAATGTAATCCAATACTATACCCCGTTTCTCACATATAATCTTACCTGCTGACGTTAAGATAGCTGTCAATAATGGCGATGTGTTCTCCTAAAGTCAGTATGATTTAAATTCCATTTATTAATGGTTCAATTGATATCAAAGTGTATACATTTTCTTCCATTAAAGGGCTATATACTTTTCTAAAAGGGTTACAGCTAATAGTTTCTGAGATTTCAAAATTCTGTCCAGCATTTTAGCCCTATATACATTCGCACTTATTGCATTTATGATACGAAATTCAACTTCATCTTCTCTTTGATTTGTCGTCCCAATGATAGTCTCTTTGATTCATGAATATGTTATGTATTTTAGGAACAATAAATTTATCACTGGTACATGTATTAGTATTAGTATTATTATCATCATCATAATCATCACCATCATCATCATCGTTATCGTGATCATTGATATCATCATTATTAATGTTGTTGAAATTGTTGTTGTTGCTGTATACGGCACCTACGTCATTTTACCTTTCAGTATATCTGGTGAGTTTATCACGCTGATAGCCATACCTGAATCAGACAAAACACCAAATGAAAAATGATGTATTTTTTAAAAATGTCAACATATTATGTTTCACAATTCCATAACACATTTTCTAATACTTAGTAACTTGGGGGACATGCTTTGAACTTCCCCATGTGTGTGTCTCACACCACGGTTTGCTAATCTTTTAAAACGATCTGCTTTTCATTAGACACCACGATTGAGCATTTTGAAGTTCGTCTTGTCGATGGAAGAAGCAGGAATGAAGGAAGGGTTGAGATGTTCTACAACACATCCTGGGGGACGTTGTGTGGTGTTGGATGGGACTTGAGAGAAGCCGACGTGGTATGTAGAATGCTGGGGTTCACGGATGCTTCAGACGTGCTACATAATGCAGCGTTCGGTGAAGGAATCGGAATGGTCTTTCTGGAAGGTATCTCCTGTCTTGGATCAGAGAACATCCTGATTGGCTGTGTCTTCACATCTTTGGAAGCGAACAGCTGTCCACATAGTCAGGATGTCGGAGTCATGTGCAAAGGTACAGGTAACTGCAATGTTGTATTGTGGTCCTCGTCAGATCTTACATGATCGCAAAGACTTTCATTGAATGAACTCGTGTTCGGATAAGGGCATACGTCATTGTAGTTTCAAAAGATCAATGATAAGGGTAGGTAGATTTTTCGAACGTTTTTGCGATTGTGTTGTGTCAGGACTTCTCTCGGTAGCTACTAAGGTACTGAATGATGAATAATGTAATCAGGCACGATGGAATTGATTATAAAATATCCAATAATTGACATCCCCACTCCCCCCTCCTTCGAGGGTGGGGGGGGGGGGGAATATCTTGCCAATCTCGCCAACATCCCTACATTTGAGATTAAGAAAAAATGTTATAGGATTGTTAGCGACAAGATCATAAGCACAAGAATAATGTATTATAATGAAGCTATGTATTATTTTTCTTGCAGGTGCTTTGATATCGAAGGCCAAATTGACCCCAACATCCTCATTGGGACATCCAGAACATGTCTATCATGGTTCGACTGTTAATTCAGTGTCTTCCGCTCAAAACAGTCGCACAATCTCTCCTGTCTCAATAGTACTTGGAGCAATCTTGGCGGCGTCGTATGTACTGTTCCTGCTGTTAGGCCTCTATCGGTGCCATCGACTTAGAAAACTAGAGAGGATGACGATTAGTGACTCGAGTGAACAGCCTACTTCAAAGGGAACAGGTTCTCCTAAAACAGCATCAGCGTACCTTAATCTCACCTCACCTCCTAGGAAGTCCACAGAGACCCCTGGAAATGAAGCTCCTGGTGAACTGATATACATGAACTTGGAGGTACCAGAAAACATAATTGGGGGAGACCAGGTTTACACAGATCTGTCGTTTACGAAGGGCAGTGATCAGGAAGGTCCCAGTCCCAAGTATGAAGCTCCCATGAAGCCGCCCGTTGGTCGCAAGCCTAAGTCTGGAAGGCTTGGATATCCAGACAGAATCGACCTCTCACTCTTGACCCAACATGACCCCATATATAATGAATGTGACTGATTATAATAATGATTATTGAAGGAGAATTAGGAGGACGATCGCAAAGACTTTCGAGGAATCAGCCGAAGGCACTCTCCGATACCTTGTCAGTCTGCGAACATTACAACCATGTATTACGCAATCCTAACACGATTCCCATGAGATATATGTATAATAAGGTATTGAAATTGCCTTTGAGCTGGTTTACCGACAGTCTAACAGATTATGTTTTCCAGAAATTATAGCCGGAACCGTTACAAAAAGCTCTATCGCGGGATAATTTCCCCGGAGAGTCCGGATACAATAAGAATGTCTAAAATGGCTTTGATTTCATATAAGGTTTCCCGAGAGGAACATGCTTAAAGCTAATCTTGAGCTCTGGTATTTGCATCGTATGTCAAGAAAACATGGCTACAAAATGTTGTTAATCCTTCAGCAGATTGATTGTATGAACCAGTAAAATAGCATCAACCTCTAAAAATAATTCTGATAATCATCTTCGATGAAATCCACATCTCTCAATTGCACATAGTGACCTGTGTTAAGCACAGGATGTCGGGCCTGCTTACCTTGATTTCCTTATCTTTCTATGCTCATAACTTGGCCCCATACATTTTCTACCAAAATCGTTTGACACATGTTATTTATTTTTAATCTAAAACATTCAGTGTAAGTTCTGTTGGATTCCGTGTGAATATATTGTGTATTATTACAAGAACTCAAGCTTATCTTTAAGTTCGTATCATTATATGATTGATATGACTTTCGACCGAGTTAAACTTAATTTGTCCAGAAACAGAGCCAGGTAAGAAAGGAAATGATCTACTTAAAATATAACATCTTCCTCCTCGTTTCGAACTCGTAATAACAAGAAATTGAGGTTCTTTAGAAAGACTGAATGATAATATATTCTATCATGTGGACTATGAAAATGCTTTTGTTTGTTGATATATTGCCTATCTAAACATGTGTACAGATATGCAAAGCATGGAAAAGAACGTTAGGAGGTACACTAAATATACGTACTACATCGATGAGTCCACATTGAGAAAAGTGGTGGCCTGTCACTTTTGAATCGACAAGTTCTCTAGTCCATTTGTAATTTTCATGATATTAGTCCTTCGGCGTCTTCTGATATCCCCATCCCCTCTGACCATCCTAGATCCTGTTGCATAATTTTTTTTTTTCATCAAAGAGTTGTTATTTTAACGCCACAATAGTTGACTTGATATAATATTTGGAGTGCAGTGTATATGTAGATCATGTATTTGCATAAAACATGGCTCAATTGACTTATAACATATTTGTAGGTAAGTTTTACAACAGTCTTTTTCATCAGTTCTTTGTAGTCGCAAATTTGTTGTTTAATGCTATAGGATTTGTGCACTATGTGAGCAGGAAGGGAGGTCAAAGAAAATAAATATTTAAACAGATATTGATGTGTTAATTGTGACCACGCACAGGCATGTATAAAGCACAATATGCTCCTCTTAAAGTACATGTGTATAATGCAATACGTACATGTTTGTAGCTTGTGAAAAATATGATGCATGGAAGCTACATTTTTAGGAATGATTAGCTATTGTTAAAAGTAGATTGTTCGAATTTGTTAACATTACAAATTGTCGAATTGTTTCTACAGTATTAATAGAAAACGCGATAGTTTATGTAAGCCTAAACTTTGTTTCATTTGTAACCTGATTATCATATAGGAAGGTAATTGTTTTAATGTTTGCACATAGTATGCGCAACGTAATTTCATATCATATATTTATGTAAAGATTTTTATTTATAGAATATGTGATTTTGCCACGGCACCTTTGCAATAAATTGAACAAAACGTCAATTTCCTTGTTTTGCCTTCGATTTATGTGTTTCCTGGCCTTTCAACCCATATGGGGTGTATGGGGGAAGACAGTGGGAGGGTGATGTGAGGGGTAGCCGCGAGTGTGGGTAGGGTGGAGTAGGCCTCACGGGTGTGGGTTAGTTTAGGATGGGTGAGGGTGTAGTGAGTGGGAGTGGAGTGGAAGTAGGAGTGTGGGTTAAAAGGGTGGGGTAAGTGGTAGATGCATGGGTATGGGAGGAGTAGAGAGGCGTGGGTTAGTTTGGGATGGGGGTAGGGTGGGGAGTGTTAGGCAAGTACGTTGGTAGGAGTAGGTGAATGTGGGATAAGTTGGGATAAATGAGGGTGGGGAAAGTGGTAGGTGCATGGGTGAGAAGTAGAGAGGTGTGGGTTAGTTTTGGATTGAGGTTGTGTGAGGGTGAGTGGTAGACAAGTACGTTGGTAAGAGTGATTCTGGTTTAAGTTGGGATAAGTGAGGTTGGGGGTGATGGGTGGATTAAGAAGGCGCGTGTGCGTATGAGGTTTAAGGGTATGGGAAAGGGTGTTGGGCATTCATGAATGTAGCAACATAACCATGGGTGTGAGTTATGTGTGTGAAATATGGCCGAGGGAGGGGGCCGGTGAATGCTGATGGGTGAGAATGAGGTACTGTGGGAGATATTGTGAGAGAGGGAAATGGATTGGTGTGAGTGTGCTCTGAGTCTGTTTTGGGGTTGATTAAGATCTCCCTCCCCTTACTCTCTCTTCTCCCCTCTCTCTCTCTCTCTCTCTCTCTCTCTCTCTCTCTGTCTTTTTCTCTCTATACTTCATATATCCTCTTCATCCTCTGAGACGAAATAAATAAATAAATAAATAAATCAAGGAGGTAAAAGTCAAATGAAGTATAATTCGTATAATTAATCTGCAGTATAAATTAAAATGTTGTTCGCCTAAATTGATAATTCGTAATGTGAAACATAACATAAGAATGCATCTCAACGCTGTTTGTTTTAACGTTCCTCAACATGTGAATGTTTATTCTCGACGCCAGACCAAAACAAAATATCCCGGTATTCCTAATTTCACATTTGATCTATTTAAAAAACCATTATTTTACAGTCTCAATCAAGATGTTGGTAAACTTGACTTAATTTAAGATTCTTCCCTTAAGTACCTTATAACATCTAATCCGTTGCTTCCTAAAGTTTTGTGAAGCAAAGGGTGATCCCTCAGATGTAAATGTTTACTCTAAAAAAGCGGAAGTCGAAAAAAAAATCTTCCGGTATTCATAATCTCACATGTCAACTAAATATATACACTCATTCTTTTAAGTCACAATCGAAATTGTGGTAAACTTTATTTGATTACAGATTCTTTCCCAAAGTAGCCTTATAACTTCCCGTAATTTTGTAAAGCAAAGGGTGATCCCTGAGATATAAATGTCTGCTCCCGACGCCAGTCGATAACAAATCTTCTGGTAGTCCTTATTTCAAATTAAAACTATAATATAGACACACATTCTTTTTGCGAGGCACATGTTCAATATAAATGCAAGAGCCCGGGCCCAAAGCTTCCCCACCCTTTAAATGTTAACTAAAAAAACTTCCGGTATTCGTATCTCACATTTGAACTATTAATATATAGACACTCATTATTTTACAGTCACAATCAAAATTATGGTAACCTTGACTTGATTTAAGACTTTTCCTCAAGTAGCCTATAACATTTTATACGTTACTTCCCCTAATTTCGTAAAGCAAAGGGTGATCCCTTAGATATAATATTATAAATGTCTACTCCCGACGCCATTCGATACGAAAATCTTCCGGTATTCGTAATCTCACATTTCAACTAGATCCCTCAGATATAAATGTTTACTCCAGACGCCACTTGATACAAAGTCTTCTGGTAGTCCTTATTTCACATTAAAACTATAATATAGACACCCATTCTTTTTCCGAGGCACATGTTCAACATGAATGCAAGAGCCCGAGCCCCAAAGCTTCACTACCCCTCCCCCATAATAATTATAAGAATAACAAATTACTCTTTAACAACCACTTCCACTTCCGTCTCTTTAGCTAGTGCACCACTCTCAAATGTTCTGGTAATTAGAAAGGTCCAATGCAGTGGGAACGGGCCACTCGCTGCATCCTCTGTCACAGCATGTGTTATCAGCTAACTTCTGATGATGAGGATGATGATGATGATGATGACGATGTTCAGTGCGTCGCGGTACCATGTCGTAAGGATGATCGCGCGGAGAATTAGTGGAACCCGATGGGTGGTATGAATCATCAGTGAATCTTCCATCTGGGGGTGATGATGTTGTCATGGAAACCAATATCTTCAGATCATTACCCGGATCGACATCAACCCACGGCCCACCGGTATGAGAAAACTTCGTCACATCAAAGTACTCGTGATTGATCGGAGACCGAGAAGCATCGTAGTCGTGGTCGTGTGGGTGGTCGTGTATCAAGGCGTTCGTTTCGATTGTCATGGACGGATGATGTGTGGAGCTGAGGGGAGCGTTGATGTACATGTCCTGGTAAATTAGGTCGCTTGGAATCTCGTCATTACCGCGCTCATTGCAGTCACTCCGATTCGACTCTGTTTCAACTCTCTTCGATGATTGCTTGAAAAATTTCTTTCTCATCCGACTCTGCCGACGATGTCGACGCTGGCATCGGGATA